ATATATATATATATATGCTGGATTAAACAGAATTAAACTAAAAAAAAATCAATAAGTTTTTGTCATGTGTCTCGTTATTTTATCTTAATTAATTGTGTTGAATTTAACGTACATGAATTTTCTATGATAACGTTAAATCAACAATGAAATATCTTGGCGTCTTAAGACTAAAAATCACATGATTTTGATCGTTCACATTACACAACATTATTGTAGTACCAAATAATTAATCTTAAACAGTGATTTGATTTAACTTCTTTGGAAGCAATTATTAAAGAAAAAGGGTCTATAATTAGTTGGAAATGAAGTACAATAATAGGGAAAAACCAAACAAACAATCTTATCTACTAAACGTTCGATTGATGCTAGATTTTTAGTGTAACCACCTTGTCTTAGTTTCTTGAACTAATATGCGTTGGCATCCATTGCCAATAGTACTTAAACAAGATGCTAAATTTGTGGTAATAATCAAGACGCTACTAATTCATTGATTCATAAAATACACGTCAAAATAATTGTGACCACTTGGTGGAGATTACTTGTCATGCTAGGCTTCTGTTGTCGGTCCATCGAGATTCTAAAATTGAATGTGATGCAGAGAACACGATCTTCAGTTATTTCATTTTTGTAGTTGACGTTCATACAAGTCTAATGAATTCAAATTTCTAATAACTAATAACATTGAAAGACGAAATATTAATAATTATTAAACTTGACAATAAGTTTTCGCTTACTTCCAAATTTACAAGGAATTACTCTATCAAAAAATAAATAAAATGAATTATATTGTATCTATTCCATAGCATCTTCATTCCCAAGTACACAACATGGCTTTTCTACTTGTAATTTTATTTAGGATTCTTATGACTCAAAAAAATTATAAACCCCTAATCTTCAAAAGGAGTTTAAATTTACCAAAATGCTTGTTGATTTGTTTCTTTATTAACCCATAGACGTTATGTTGTTTTAGAAATTTCTACATAAATGAACATAAGATTCCAAAATTAAATTCTTGATTTGAACAAATTTATAATTCATAATCTTTAATTTGCTTAAATTATGGGATCTCTTTAGATTTGTCCTAAAATTATATTCATAAATACAAAATTCTCGTCAAAAAAGACAAGCACTTTACTCCGTATATTCAGGCATCGTGCCGAGGTACTTAAATATAAAATTTTCATTATGCGAAATATTCAATTAATCTCGTCTTTTTATTTACTTATGCCTAACTAATCAACCGAAAGCATTCCTATCGTGATATTTCACCTTCTTCAATATTTTTTTTATTAACACAAACATGGGCGGATCCAAAATTTTTTCATAAAATCTAATGAAAAAGGGTGAAATTTTATTATAATTTTTATTTTTTTATTATTATGTAAAATTAAATTAAAAAAAGATAATCACTTTTTAAATCAATCACGTGCATTAAAAGAATTCTACATTTTTCATTAGAATCCACCAGGTCAACAGTCACAGTCACATTTTTCACGTCCATGTCTATATCAATATTATTCATCTGAGATAAATGTAAAATCAATTGTCAATAATCTTGTTTACAGACCTCCATAAATTGTTTTTCTTTTCCATTCTTTCTAGGTGCATGCATGCGATCATGTTAAATAAATAATTTTTTTCATCGAACAAAAGCCAAATTTGTATACACCCTCAAGCTCTTCCCTCCATTCAAAGTTCAAATTGCAGAAAAATACTGATGCTAATATACTTTACCAGAAAAACAAAATGAAAAGTGAAAAGTGAAGTGCCTCCTCAACAATAATATAACTTTCCTTAGTGAAAGTAAAAAGTACCCGCCGTTTGATGTTCCTTTTAGAAAAGTGATGACCATGCTTCTTTTGATAATTCTTTTTGGCAAATTTTGAATCAAAAGTTAATTTAATTTTTTTTTTTTTTATCATTTTAGTTTTAAACATTTTTTTCACAAACAAGGGCTACATAAATCCAAGATTATGATGAAATGTAAAGGCTATCTTAAGAGTTTTTGAACTAAAGAAATAAATCACAATAAAGATTGTATCAATAACAACAAACCACTGTGCAATATATTATGAAACCGCAGTCATAAACATAACCAGATAACACAAATAAGAAGTCGAAATAACCATCAATGCTACCATATGAGCGAAGATCAAGATAATAGTATAGAGTATTGTGCAACTAAACAGAAAACCCGCAAATTATTAATGCAGAAAAAATAAAGCCTCGATGTTACTCCTTTTATTCTTCTTCTTGATCTCCCCGACATTTCAGAATGGACTTTGGATATCCACAGGATCCAGTCTTGACAAACTTCTGGTAGACAATTGAACCAACCATTCCCAGCTCTTCGTCGTTTTTCTCTTCAAGAGAGTACCCCTTCAAGTCGAGGCAGTATGTGTGATCAAATAACTTTAAACCAAAATCAGCATGCAGGGCAACAGAAAACTCCTTTGGTTTGAAACATACCAAAACCCGCTCAATCAGAAGACCCAGATTCATAACTTTGAAATCATAACCGGCTGCTTCAAAGCTCGCATAACTAAATCCGTCCTCAGGGGTAACATGAATGGTAGACAGTGCAGTGCCTTCAATGGAATTCATGGAGTATCCACATGGCTCAAACTCAAAATCACATATATCAGAAGCCGGGAGGATTTTCCTTATACCAGACTTATTGGTCATCAGAGCTGCTGAGCTTGATTCCTTCTTGTAGAAAATAGAAGCCATATCCCTATCCAAACCAGTCATACACATCTCTAAAGTGTAAACAGGGTTTAAAAATTTAGCACCTCCAGCATAAGCAGAATAAACATGCCATCTCTGTTGTTTGTCAGAACTACACATAACATAAGCCTTGGTGCAAGAGGAAAGTTCCCTAAAATAGCTATCAAGGACTGAAACTTCTTCAGAGAAGCTACGATGAGGATATGACTGGGCTCCAGGGAAAATGAAACTCCCACGAGTATATCTCACAGTCTGTACTGAAAGAGAAAGGTAGCCGGCCAACTTCAGTATGGGCGGGATGGATAGAAGCAGTTTTGTTGTACCGCAGGTTTTGATGATAATCTTGTAAGGATAAACAAAGAGACTAGACTCGGAGAGAACGTAGGAGTCTAGGAATTCATTCGAAAGTGAATCAACTATCGTGCACTCAGCAGGACTTAGAATCTCATCCAACTGAGTTTTGGAAAGAGATCGAAGTCCCTTTCCTTCAGGATCAGCAAAGAAGCTCGGCTGGAAGAATGAAATTTCAAGCCTCTTTTCAAAACCTTCAAAACCAATTGCAGAGGCAGGCATAACCATTTCGGGAACAAGATTTTCTTCAACGCCGAAGACAGCAAATAAGAAGGCAATCGAAGAACGAAGAACAGGAGAACAGGAATTGAGAAGAAAAACTAATTAATTAACAGTTAGCTTTTGCACGTCAAATGACGCGATCCAGAGACCAGTTAGGGATGTCAGGATGGTCTACGGGCACGCTGCAATACATTAAGAAATACAAATGTCAGGATCATGAAGTTATATATAAAAAATTCAAAAAACTCATCAAGAAACAAATCATCTCAAGTTAGTACCCAGAAACTTACATTGGAGTATTCAGCAGATTGAAACTTCTCGATGCCACCGTTTGGTCGAATGTCTTCAACGCTATATCCAAGGGGCGCTTCGTAGAATAAGGATTTACTACTGGACTTCTTGCCACCTTTAGACTCCATTAGATCATCAACTCTTGGCTGCACAAGATCATAAGTTAGTTACCGCATAAAAATAATCAAGTAAAAGAATACAAAGACACAATTTAAACTGCACAGTATGAATGCCAACCATGTATACATTCATGGAGCAAGGTATTACCAAACAGATTTTCTTTAAAAAGAAAAAAAGGATGAACCATATATTAATTTTATTTTGGCAGATAAACATTGAAATGTACCGGGAAACACAGGGTACGACATAAAAATTTAAATGGAAAAAAAATAGATGTCATTAGTTAAAAGGACACATGGTTAAAGAATAAAATTCATCAGATAATTACTAGCATGTCTATGGATTAGCCAAGAAATTAGAGTCTTTATACAAAATCTCATTATTATCCCACAAAGATTTCACCCTACTTGAGCAAGACAATCAATTTTGTGGATAATCATTTAAAAACTACACTTTTCATTGAGGTATTCACACACCCTATTGAACTTTTAATCAATCAAAATTATTTCTTAGGAAACTAATTGAGAAAACAGACTATAACAACACTATACCATTATATCACTTCCTGAGATGGAAATCAGATTTCAATCTTCAAATCCACCAAGAAAATTTCATAATCAAGATTAAAGCAAAGGCAACATCAAAAGGCAAATCCATATGCAAAAAAGAACCAAACAGTAAAGACACAATATCACACACACAAGTATATTCATACATCTACATGTGCGTATCTTCATAAAATTAACGATTTTTGTCGGCATTTGCTAAAAACTAGATCAGAAACACCAAAACATCTAAAGCATATTAACATAAATTTTCACCATATGTTACTTCTTCAGAAACCTTCATTAATTTATATGTTATTTCACTAACATATGAAAAAATTATGCTGAATCCAATCTTTCTTCAAAAATAAAAATAACCCGAGATGTTAACCAGAAAAGAAAAATAACACAAGATATATTGGTTTCATATCAGCACCACAGATTAAAAGAGAAAACCCAATATTTCAACTGAAACAGATTACGGAATTATTAAACAAAAACCCATACTTACAATAACAAGATTCAATCTTTATGAAACAATAATCCCCAGAAATCACAATTGACGTCCAATAATTCCTACAAACAGCAAAAACAACACAAATCAGAAAATCATTTATACACAAATAACAATTCCATAAGTTTTCTGCAATTTTAAACAATGCTTACGGAAAAAATAAGTCTTGCGGGTTTGTCGAGGAAGAGATGGAAGCCCTGGAAAAATCTGAATCGCAATTGAATTCGAATTTTTCAGAGAAACTCTCGTGAAGGTGGCTGGAGCCATATATTTATATAGTTGGACGCAATTAATTACCACTGATTTAATTTNTTTAGAGGCAATTTAAAGTTCAGTGAGTAAATTGTGTCCATATTAAAGTTCAGTGAGTGTTCAAACAATTTACTCTAAATAATTTACTAGGGAAGGTTTTCCCTAAATATATTCTTTTTTCTAAATCATTGACCAAATTTCTATCCTTGAGTTATAGCACCAATTTCAAAATATTCTGGAGTTACATAAGATTGTTGAACGTTTATTGAATATTTTGAATAATTTAATTTTTCTACAAATATTAAATCAATTTATCTGTCGGACGGACAATGTCCATTAAGTTTTAGAAGTTCTATAAATAACTTAATATGAGCATTTTTTTGAGAAATTAGTCGATCACTTATCAAAATTGTGGTTTGGTACATATCTTTTAAAATCTTTTTTGTTTTTTGAAGTAAATCTTTTCAAATCTTTGTTTGGTAAATGACATTGATATTAATATTTATTTACATTTGCCCAGGATTTTGGTAGATACTTTCTTTATTCAAATTTGGGGTGGACGATTTTATTTTACATATACAATACAATGAGTCGCTACCAAACACAATTATTTTAACTTCTTTTCCTCCTAGAGATCATGCAGCTTTTGTGGAAAACCAATACAATGAATCGCCAAAATCATGTTACGATATATGTCATATATTGAAATTGTGATTTATACTCCGTTAAACTTTTTACATTAATTATTGTTGTATTGTATGTAATTTTTTAAACATAACACACAACAAATGAAGGATTCCTTAATCATAAGCCACAACATAATCTCCAAAATCACTGTGTGAACGAGCTAACGTGTAATATTATTTTGTTATTTGATTTGATTTTGTAATTATTTCGAATTTCACCTGTCCACTATAAACTTCCAACACAAGTAGCAAATTCTTCAAAATACCTTTCAGATGGAAGAAACCCATGTAAACGATTCATTCCTCGACCCAAGGTAAATCTTCAAGTTGACTACAAATTGCTTACTCCTTTTTTACCAACGCTGACGGCTTCTGGTCAATGTTTTGAGCCATTAGAACTGCTTGGTTGGTTTCCCTCATTTCACAGACATAGCTGTCTTTAAAGCTCGGCGGTTGTATGCCTAAAAAAAGGCAATTAGTTTCTCCGCTCTATGAAAAAATGAAGAAATTCTCAGCGTGCATAACGATCGAGGAAATCCTGTTTGAGTGAGCTTTCAATATTCCAGGGTCTCTGTTCAATTCTGGTGATTATTTATAGGTTCTGTGTTATAGCCTATCGGCTTCCACGATTTAAAAGCTACTAGAAATAAGTTGATTTAAAACATGATTTTTATCAATCTTTATTCAAATATTTATATGGGTCTCACTATTCATTTTTAGCGGGACAATGGTCAAACACGTTCTAGTCCGTGAGTAGATGATTTTGATATATTTGGATGTTCAAAACTATTTTCAGTTGAATGAAAAATTAATGCCTAAAAGTAAGATTTTGAAAATAAATAAATTGAAATATGGAGGGATATCTCACCAGGTCAATACATGCTGTGGCTCGAGGCAAAAATCAGTTTTTTTGCCTTGAGCCAATTACAGGGACCTTTCAATCCAATTGGTTAAAAATTGAAAAAGTCGAAAAATTTATAATTATTAAACCATCACTTGGGGGAACCGGTCTCCGGTCATCCGATTAATGGAAAAATTGGCCAATTGACTGATTTTTTTTTTATTGGTTGAACCATCCGATTTGATCCGATTTTAATAACATTGTAAAAATTCCGTCTACAAATTGAAAAGAAATAATAATAATAATAATAATAATAATAATAATGCATTATCAACGTTGTAGTTGACTGCTTAATTAGCACTCAAGCCTAAGGCGAAGCATTTTCATCATGCCTCGCGTCTATGTGCACTTTTTACAATACTGCTATATACAAATATACAATCAAAAGCCTGATTTTTATTAGAAGAACCCAGAAAAAAATGAATAAAATGTGAAAAAAAAAAAATCAAAACATTTAGACAAATAATTGACGATCTTGCACACAACAATAAATCCAAAATTCAATGGTTCCCATTGTGCCTTTCAGAGAGCGAAGTTGCTAAGAATGCTAAAGACTAAATATGGCCACATCTGGAGAGGAGTCCAGTGACTGAGTTTGTTACGTATTTGTTATATGACTGAATTTTGCTCATCAAATCTTCACTGATTCCGAATGTCATGGGACAAATACCGGCACTCACGTAAATTTAGACAAAGAAGTGAGCAGGGACGGGAATTGTAATTTATAAATAAATTGTAAATAAGTGTATAGTACTTTTAGTTCACTCGAAATGTGCAGGTAAAAAATGATTTTAGTGTTTACAAACTGTATATAAACATGAGTAACACAGTCTTCTCTCCCTATCAAGAGCAAACTAAGCAACACTAAAATATCAACATGTGCAAAATGAAAATTAGGTCATGCTAGGTCTAATTAGCTCAAACGGGCACCTATAACTATACTCGACCAAATGCAATTGTCATTTCTAATTTGATGCAAAATTTCATGAACGTTGATGGAAGACACCAACAAATGCGAGTAAACAATAATTAAAAATGATGGGTTGTGATGTTGTCAATTGCTAGATTTGGTAAACCCGTTACTACTAACGGGCTTGGCCCAATTGCTGGAAATATTATTTCAACCAATTAACGTTGCCCAATAACTCAAGGAAACCGGCCCGAAATATATCGCTACATGTGCTTCTCTGGACACTTGAATTCATGGCTGATCTACGATAACTGTGAAGTGTATATATGGAAGATGTGTGGTCACTTGAGCCCTAATTTTTCATTTTGTTCCTGATTCGTGTGAGAAAAGCTTCTTGGTTCTTTTCCTTCATGCCCTCTTCCCTTGATTCTCTCTTTCCATACTTAGTGTAGAGATTAAAACTTCAAGTTTTAATTATCTTTCTTTGGATTATGGTTTTTGTGATTCTTCGATTGAGAGTTTAGCTGATGTAGATTGCCTGTGTAATCTTGAATCATTGAGTAGCGATGTTGTACGATTTCTTTAGGGTTTGTTGGTGTCTTTGTGGTTGTTTCCTTGTACAAAAGGGTACAAAGTTTTGTATTCTGAACCCAAATAATAATCGAATCCTCTTGGTGTTGGTGTTTGATTTCTTCTTCGTGAATCTTGGTTATTGCTTCCGTCTATGTTGGCTCTACAAGTAGTATCAGAGCCTTCTTAGTGGCTCTCTGGTTCTTCGATTGGCGGTGCAGGGTATGGAAATCAATTTCACAACCCGTTCTTCACTAATCTCATTTTATAGTGAAAACCCTAGACTTCGATATAGCTACTTGGTTTCCGTTTTTGTTTTCTTGAGGGAAACTGATTCTTGGTGAACGGGCTTGGAGATTGAGTTTCGAGCTGGTGGTCCTGTTGAATCCCTGGAATTTTTCTTGGTGTGGTGACAATTC